CCCCCCCCCCATTTAAATGTATGTAAAACGATCGATCCTTAGTGAGGCAGCTTGCCGCGCACCTAAAATCGATATTTTTAGAGGATTTAAATGGAGGAAAAACAGTGTTGCCAACTTTCAGTATCGCCACTGCCTAGCACTATCCTACCACGCTATGAAACTTGTCGTCCAAACATTCGAATGTTGCCAAATTCCCCCTGCTAAAATACTGGTATTGAAGAACCATCGTGATTATTTTTTTGAAATTTTTAGATAATTTAGATTGAGTTGCGCATCAATTTCTCTAAAAAAATTAGAGGGAAAATATTTAAAAATTTATCTAAAAATTCGAGTGACGAAAATGCCGCCATTTCTATTAAAGGCAATTTGGCAACTGAGATGTAGCCGCTACCTTTGGCTTGCTACAATTTCAGTGTTGTTTTCGGGATGGGGGAACAAAGCACTCTCGATACGATGCTTTTTACCGCAAGTTCAATCGGCAATCGACATTCGACATGCAATGTGGGTCAAATTTCGAATCGGACATTTTTTCCATCGTACTGCGACCTCTGCAAGGAAGTTGACCCACAGCTATAAGCCACGCTTCTGATACCTCGCCGAAGGTTAGCTCCGGAACAGTCAAAATTTTAAACACGCCAAACTAAGGTCGTTCGCGCTTCGTCGGCTAGAACGAATGTTAAGACAGAATATTGGGAAGTTGTCGCACTGGGCAAAATAATCTAGTTTTTCCAAAAACATTCGAACGTATACATCCAATACCCACAAAAAACCTGATTTGTCAAAAATGTGTCCGTGCGCACCCAGAGGATATTCTCTGAAGGAGACCCATCCCGATGTATTAATCTTAACACAACCTAATGTCTTAGGCCCGATGGAGAGAAGTATTTTATTACCAACGGGGCAATATACTGGGATCCGCGTCTGATCGCAAACATGTTTTAAATGTTAGCGTCTCCATTACTCTTTCGATACTCCAAGAATTCTGACGCACTTCCGAAGTGTACATCTAATAGTCATTAATCAACTCCCTGAACGAGCTCAAAATTACACTAACAATTTTTCTGACCACACTTAAATTTTTCGACGTGATTTACTCTGATGCAACTGGAGATAATTTTATGCCGCTAAAATGTTAAGGTCGGAACGAAGCTGCGAGGACTCTTTGAACGCCTGTTGTATTCTCTTTATAAATTAATTATACCAGCAGGCTGATTGTTGAAATTGATAGGCAAAATTATAGACAAAGAAGACGAAAGGAATATGGAGGGCTCCTGTTGGTGGAAAAGGGTGGTTCTAATTGAAACAGGAGGTAGGTAATAGACTAACAAACAGCAACCCACGAGAGACCCTATAGTTAGTTGATCGTTTTCTTCCTTCGTCTGTAAGAACCAACCATTTCAACCAATAATATCGTTTCATGCTCCCTATGTCTTCTTTGTCTATCGCTTTGTCTATAAATTTCGACAATCAATCCGCGGGGAAGGGGGGGNGGGGGGGGGGGGGGGGGGGTACACGCGGGTACGCCCCGTGACCGCTTCGCGCCTCAGGCATTATGCGTTACGCGTTACCCTTATGATTTTATATTGTAGAGTATGATATGGATTGCATTTTGCAATAAAGAGCCACTATCTCTGGCTCTCCCATAAAAGCACATATCTGCATAGGGAAACCAATGGCATGTATGTTGTTTCTTAAATGGGCCAGAAATAGTGGTTCTTTATTGCAAAATGGAATCCATATGATACGTGTGCTATATTCCGTTTCCGCGATGCGCTTACTTTCCTTCTTTCGCGTTAAAGCCTCCGTTGAAAATGAATGGATTAATGATTGTCACGATGCACTTTTCAGTTTCCCAGCTGTAACGATCCAGGCAGTCATTGGTACTATCGATCTGGGTCCAGTTGAGGAAAGTATGAGGTTGATTTGAATCGCACTACTCCCCAAAAAAGTGGCAAAACTTTTTAGATGATGATGTAAATGCTGCCATGCTAAGGAAAAACGCCGTATGAGCCTTCAGACGCTGCCAAATATCCTTGGATAAAACACGAATTTCCTGGTAAACATATGGATATTTTTCTTCCAATTTTTCATATAGTTTTGTTCGCAATTGCAACCTAAAGTTCCCGAAAATTTCAAGGAAAAATATTCATAACTTGCCTCAAAAATGAACATTTTTTCGAAGGAAATTTGGCAACTCTCGAATGTTCATACGGCGTTCTTCCTTAACACGGCAGAATGGGACTTGTATCTACAGACATTGTGGTAGGATCAGATTGAGACTGTTTCAGTGCTCATATAGTCTTTCCCTTTCCATCATGCTTCCTTCATTCTCACTCATCCTTACCTTAACAAAGTTCTTGATTCAGGACGATGTAGAATATTTCGTGATTATCAAAGAAATTAAGGGGTACCAACGTACCCTGACTGCTTCGCGGCCAGTGAGAATTCCCGAAAGTTGGCAACCCTGTTTCTCCTCCATTTGATCGTGTGAAAAACAATCGATTTATAGGCGAGACGGCCTGTCTCGCGTAGAATCGATATGTTCGATGGATTTAAATTGAGGATTAACAGTGTTGCCAACGTGCTGGAACCCCCACTATTCGCGGTCCGACCTTCCGCGTCGCGCTTCGCGTCTCGGGCGTTATGCGTTACGCGTTACTCTTATGACTTTATACTACAGGGGAAGAATAGAGAGAAAAATTTTGCAGGATAAAAAATATTATTAAAAAATGAAAATTGATAGGATAAAATCTTACAATCAGTATTATGCCCTTGCCTACGGATAATGCATGGGTAAACTGCATTCTGGGAAGTGGAATATTATTCACCACAACTTTTTAGGATATTAGTCTCTTTAATTTAATTTATTTACGCGGAAAAATGCCGAAGTCTGGAATCAAATGTCAAATACGACGTTACTAATCTCATTTGTTGAAAATATGTGACGACGACACCCTGGTTCTCAGATCTTTGCAATGCTTTCCAAAACTTCCACGGAAACTCTCACTCTAAAAACCAGTTGATCGTCTTTTTTGAAAAATCAAAATGACGAAACAGCCTCCTGCCTTCATACCGTCATACAGGTACTGAGATAACACTTTAAAATTGGTATTTATGTTTTCTGGACTTTAGATTTTCCGATCTCAAAATTGGACTTAATCTTTGAATTTTCACATTGGCTAAGTCTTATGGAGAACCGTATGGACTCTATTGGCGTGAACCCAAAATCCGAAACACAGCGGTGGTGCCAGCATAGGCAGATAAGGGGGGGGGCGTAAAGGGCGTACCCCCCTCCCCCCCTCTCGCTCGAATAAAAGGAAAGAAAAGAAGGAGAGGACGGAGAAAAAATGAAGGAAGGAGGAAAGACGCTTATATTTTGGTAATTAATCATAATGAAATTGTCTTAAATTGCATTAGATGCCTTAAAATCTCGAAAATTTTCTGGGGAGCCCCCCCCCCTCCCCCCTTAGGAATATCTGAATCCGCTCATGGGCGCCATGGGGTGGCATAAAACGTATGCGAGAGATGAAACTTGGGAAATTTCTGCGAAAAAATTCCAGAAATTTCACAGACTTGAGAAACTTATAAAAATCATGATACTTTTTAAAAGTATTTTTGAGGTGCTAGGTTTGGAAACCGCACTTAAATGCAAGAAACCTTGATTTTCGGCACCTAATTCTCAATTGTAATTTTTTTATATCCAAAATTGAGATTATTAAACTTAAAATTTCTGGAAATATTCCTGGAGAAATCTCGTGAAATTTTGCCACCCTCGGTGGCGCCCCCTAAGCGGAATTTCTCACTACGAGTCGCAGAGGCTGAACATACGTCTTGAACTGCCATACTAAGGAAAAACGCCGTATGAAAGTTCAAGAGTTGCCAAATTTCCTTCGATAAAATGTTTACTTCTGAGGAAAGCTATGAATATTTGTCCTTAAAAATATCAGGAACTTTAGGTAAAATTGCGAGCAAAATCATCTAAAAAAGTAGACGAAAAATATTCACAAATTTTCCCGAAAATTCGTGATCTACTCAAGGAAATTTGGCAACGCCTCTAAGTTCACACAGCGTTTTCCCTTAGCACGGCAGTAAAGCTCCGCTCAAAAGCTCTATACTCACGCCTACGACGACGAAGCGGATCGCCTCGGGGGTCGGTTACCGGTCCGGTTCAGTGGCGTGGCGTGCTTTGCGATACATCGATTGATCTGCCATTTAAACCTATGGATCAGTGGCGCGGCGTGCTTTGCGATAAATCGATTAATCTGCCATTTAAACCTATGGAAAATAATCGATAAACAGGGTGTTCGTGACAAACACCTTAATAATCGATTCTTTACTAATAGCTTCAAATGGGGAAATATCGATAATCGATTGTTCACGCCACGCCATACTGCTATGGAAAAGGATCGATTATTAGGGTGTTTGCAGCGAACACCTTAATGATCGATTCATTATCATAGGTTTAAATGTCAGAACAATCGATACATCGCAATTCACGCCACGCCACTGGTCCGGTTGCGGCTGTGGGTTGGACGGTCGGATCGCTCACCGACCGGCCGACGACAGACCGACTCCCCGGGCTCCGCGGTCAATGCATGCTACGGTCCCCGCCGCACATTGGTTCCAGGGCCCGATCTAGGTGGCATTAATTAGAATATCACTGATGATGACATATTATATATGTTTCTAGGGGTTCTTTGGGTCGCTAATTACGAATTTGAAGTCAATTTGACTGTATCTTTTAGCATAAGGTGGTAAATTTGCATCTAGCTTGAAAATTCATACTTAATACTACATTAATAATATTTTAAAATGGCTGAATTCCTGGACTGATATATTTTTCAACCTTTTTTGATTTATCATCAAAAACTATCGATGAATTTACGAGGATTTGTCCTCTAATTACTAATTTTATTATGGGGGGGGGGCAATGTTGTATAATTTTGTGAACCAGGAATTGGTATTATCTGGTAAAATATACCTCCTAAATGTTGTGGTTTCCCTGAGGAAAATAAATTCCAGTACCAAAGAAAACTGCTTATCCCACTATTCGAGTTGTTCATACAGTGTTGACAAATCAGCGTAAGAAGAACTTTATTTGAACCTCAATGCTCGCTGATTTCTTGATTCGCCGCGCTTTAAAACCAACAGAAATTTTGAAGCTTCGTAATTTAATGGTACAATTATGCTATCAGAATTATTATATTATCAGAATAACTATGAATTAAGATTCGATCTTCGTCTATAATTCAAAAAATACATTTAAATTCATTATACGCGGCAATTTAAACATACGTAACATAAATATTTTACTTGAACAAGAAGTATAGGTATTCACTCAATGAAGGAAAGCAGAAACCAAAATTAATGACAAAGTATTTTGAAAGAAAAATGATTACTGTCTGTAGGAGCAGGAAAAATATTCATCGGTATAATATTTTATTGCGCATCAAAAAGAGTGAGGTGTCACACTTGCTTTTTTTCTTTTTGAAACAAAGTTGTGAGCTTGCGATGATTTCAGAGCCTTACAAGCCTGAGAGAATAAAAACACGAAGAAATCATGAACCAAGAAAGAAATAAGCATTCGTCGTTAAGTTAGAGGACATTTACTCATACGATCACGGAATAATGCGCGAGGAGTGCAGTAAGCTCCTTTTCTGTGGAACAGTGCTATGTCTATGGGCCTCTCTAAAGGTACAGACAATGTGAAAAACAATTATCTAAACGATTGAGAGGATTTAAGAACCCACGTGTTCTGTATTTTGAGCCATAATTGTAAAATTTTTAGTCAAAAAACGGGAACTGTCTTTAGTCTATGGGCTTCTCTACAGGTATAGACAAGGTGAAAAATAATCATCCCAATAATTGTGAGGATTTGAGAACTCACGTGATGTGCAAAAAATGCAGTCCTCAAAGATTTGGAGTCTGCAGTAGTGCAGTAAACTCCTCAGTGTGTCAATTTTCTTCATTTCTCGAAGGCCGGTTTTGGAAATTCAAAGTGCGCTAACCTCCAGGGACGCAAGTATGCGCAGAATTTTTTTGCTCCGAAATCAAGTGTAGGGTCAGCACTAACTACTACAGTCGGTCTGCTCGTGTGCGAACCTACGCAGGGCCTTTATTTTGAGTCATAATTGTAAAATTTCCAGTCAAAAAACCGGAGCTGTGGTAAGTCTATGGGCTTCTCTAGAGGTATAGACAAAGTAAAAAATAATCATCTTAACGATTATGAAGACTTGAGAACCCACATGACCTATAAAAAATGCAGTATTCATATTCCCAAGGATCTGAGGTCTGCAGTAAGCTCCTTAGTGTGTCAATTCTTTATTTCTTGAAAGCCGGTTTTGGAAATTCAAAGTGCCCTAACCCCCAGGGACGCAAGTATGCGCAGAATTTTATTGCACTAAAATCAAGTTTAGGGTTAGTACTAACTACTACAGTAGGTCTGTATGCGTGCGAACCGGCGCAAGACATTCATCTAGAGCCATTTTTGTAAAAATTTGCTTGGAATTAGTGGAAAATAACGCTTTGTCTAACGGCTTGTCTAGATGTATAGACACGTTTTTGAAAGATAGTAAGAACGTATAAACCTTTAACACGCCTTATATTTTTGATACACCATAACAGAACACTTCACATTTGCATCTATTTCTGTGTGATGAACTTCAAATCATAGGACCTGACAGTAAACACTGAAAACTGGTGCGAGTCCGCCCAAAAGTACCTCGCGGCCTCACCTTTAGGTGCTTATCATTTCCTTATAAGTGATCCAATCTTCATGATATTTGGCCAAGTTACTCTCGAGAGTATGCACTATCAATCTGTGGTGTCAAATTTTAATTTTTCCAAAATTCATTTTTTCGAATTAATGCCACCTAGATCGGGTCTCGGAACCAATGTGCGCCGCCTGGCGCCCGCCGCCCGGTCGGAGTAAGGCAAGGGCCGGTGCAGAAAAAGCCTCCTGTTTTACTCACCTCAGCTTCGTTCCAGATTCCAGCGGCTCAGCGTGCATCGGACGCCGACGTGCGCATGCCCGCGATGGAGACGACGAGCTACGCAACAACCTCCTGGCACGTAAACGACAGCTAATTGGAGGTGTTGCGTCGATGCAGCTACAGGCTGAAACAAAAAGGAAAAGGTGGTTACAGGCTGAAACAGAGAGGAAAAGGTGGTTACAGGCTGAAACAGAGAGGGGAAAGGTGGTTAGTGGTTACAGGGGCGCTCGCGAAGATGTGAACAGGTTCGGGGCGGATATNGGGGGGGGGGGGGGGAGAGAGACTCAATGGGGTGCGGCCTGTGGTGGTGAAATTTTAGCTTCGGAAAATTACGGAAACGAAGCGGAGAAAGCCACTGGGAAAACCCGAAGCGCCTTCAATTTTGGAATATGCAACACGCACATCCGTGGAACACGAATAGTTGCATGCAGGCGCTACGACCAACTCGATATGGCCTTTGTAAAGCGGAGGAGGCGCCTTAATTCAGTTATTGAATATGCAAGTCGTTAGCCAAGATATTGGAAATAAAATGAAAATGAAAAAAAGCTCGAAAAATTTTGTTGAAAACTGCGAAGATAAATTTTAAAATAAGAGTGTACAGTTTGTTTGCATAACCTGTAAATTTTCATGAATTGCCTACAATTTTATTTCGCCACTTTTGAGTTTTAGAGAAAGATCTCGCAAAATATTCGTCAGAAATCGGTGGGTGAGGAACATTCTTGGTGTACATGTATACGCGCATTAATGTAATGATCACATTTAAAATTAACGATGTTAAGTTGGCGTGATTTTAACATTTCGACCAGCAAGTCCGCGGACCGGCTTTCGAGTACACAGACTGGGCAAGAACATTGGCCAGTTCGCGAACAAAAAAAATTCGCATCGCCGAAGTGTGCGTTTGAATGTTATTTTGAAATTCGTTTCCCCGTTTTATTGAATGAAGATCCCTTCCACTGACGGTATGATTTCTAAATATCAGTGTTGCGCATAGGACATTTACCTAGTAGTCTACCCCACAAAATGAAGGCGTAATGTACAAATTTGACTCCGCATTATTTTACGAGTTCTCCTCAACCTTCATCGTCTTCTCGTCGAACACTTCTGATCATTAGACTGATTAATGGTCATATTATTTACTGCTATACTGCCGTGCTAAGGAAGAACGCCGCGCCGTGTGAGCTTTCAGACGTTGCCAAGTTTCCTTCGATGAAAACCGAATTCACTGGGAAAATTGTGAATATTTGTTCCTAAAATTTTCAAACAGTTTAGTACGTAATTTAATTTAAGATATCTGAAAATTTTGAAGAGTAATGTGCACGAATGTCGTCAAAAATCAAGAGAACTATGGCAACTCTCAAATGTTTATACGGCGTTTTTCCTCAGCACGGCAGTATATACCTAACTCCGGTTCAACGAACTTTCTGACGGTAGTGCATCAATCATATCTTGACAGTGAAAATCCAACATACGGCTAGCTGTTTTACTGAGTACGTTGATGAGCTGAATTGGCGAAGATCCAATGAGATCTGAACGTGCAAAATTAAGAGACGCACCACATACAAAGGAAACTGCCATTGTGGTCATAAGTAAAAAACACCGTATTTTTTTTCTTTGCTGTGCTTTGACGATGTTCATCACACAGCCTAGACAAATTTCTGCTGTCGGATGCAGGAGCTTGATTGGTTGGTGATTACTGGCCTCAACAAACTATTTAGTGAATATAAATCATTCACTATTCGATGCATAATGCTGCCCTGGTAAAAATTGGCGATAAGAGCTGCGTTTCAAAGTACCATAGGAATGCTTATAGCCGGCTAAAGAAGGCTACAGAAAATCATATAGCTGGCTGTAGAATGCGGAGAAAATCATACGGCCGGGCTATACGAAGCGATAAAAAATTATGCAGCCGGGCTATAGTTCCTATCGCCGGGCTTTACACTTTATCGCCTGGCTGTTGCTTTTTCGCCATCGATTATGAAGGGCTATAAGAAATTGTGTAGAAATTCGTGTGCTTTGTAAATCATTAAGTTGGATACAACCACCTTAATATTTACAAAACACACATTATTTTTCCTTTAATACATATTTTTTTTCATCAATTAAAATGAGAATAATCCATACAGGATGTGGAAACATTTCAAAATCATGAGTTGAATAACGCTGACTCCACGAGATTAAAAATTAGAGCCTAACACGAAGCGGAGCGGCGGCGCGCTGGCGCCTACAAACCTAACAGGGATACTTCACGCATTGCGCAACGCGTGAAATTAAAAATTAGAGCCTAACACGAAGCGGAGCGGCGGCGCGCTGGCTGCCCGCCTGCCACGGCGCTTGAAGCAACTATTTCACACCAGAGGTATTACACAGTATCATACGAAACTGTAAGCGCTGGCGCTCTAATATATTAGGAATGGTAGACATCCATCAAGAGTACGCAGCTTTCCGCGCAAAATAAATCAAGATACTACGGCCCAAAAAGAGAGCGGTAGTCCAAAAACTCGCTAAGTCCTAGCATCCGTAATTAGTAACGTTTAGCATACACTTTATCGCCTGGCTGTTGCTTAATCGCCATCGGCTATAAAAGGCCATAAGAAATTGTGTAGCCGGCTATAGAAGCTATTGGAAATCTTACAGCCGGCTGTAGGTCTATGGTATTTTGGAACACAGATTCTACTGCCAATTTTTACCAAGGTGTTCTATTATCTATTGTTTTTCCGAGCTTCTTAAGATAGCGGCACAATTGAAAGTCATTGTATCGAATGACGTGGCCACTGAAACAGTCCATATTACTAGATCATCTGCCTGCATTAAAAAATCAAAGGCAGATATTCCCTTCATAAGTGTAGCCAAAAAGGTCGATTTCTCTTACACAATAGTAAATCCAGTTACTGTATGATCCAGTATTAAAATGATTCCTCATTCTGAAATCGTTAGAGATATCGATCATGTAACAGCAACTGGATATAAATTTCTGTATTTAAGATCACTTTTCACTAAATTACCGGACTCCGTTCGATTTAAAATTACGAGTATGAAATGAATAATATCATTTTCCATCATTGCCTGCTGCTATTCTCACAGGAGAGACTCCACAACGTTTGAAAATCTAATATCATTGTAAATTCATATCTGTTAAAAGATACTTTATTTTGCCGAACAATTTTTACATATACCTGCATAATGCATGCGATCAATTTCATTTATCGGGGAGATGAACACTACCGTGCTAAGGAAGAACGCCGTATGAGCATTCGAGAGTTGTCAAGTTTCCTTCGATAAAATGTTTATTTTTGAGGAAAATTATCAATATTTTTCCTTGAAATTTTCAGACTTTTTTAGATCAAATTATGAACAAAATCATCTGAGAAATTGGAAGAAAAATATGCACAAATGTTCTTGAAAATTAGTGATTTTTAGAAGGGAATTTGGCAATGCCTGAAAGCTCATACGGCGTTTTTCCTTAGCACGGCAGAACAGTGGTTGACAGCGTTTCGTAAGTACCTGCCCGCAAGTGCCAAAATACAGTACCTACCTACAGATACATATTCAGTGGTCAGTGGAATGAGCATCGAATGATAATTTTAGCTATCAAAAATCTCGTTTGTACCTTTGTAGATTTTAAAAGTGCAAATTAAACCACATTCTTTGCTCGGAATTTCAAATCCCAGGAAGAACCGCGTCTTTGTGACGATGAAGATATACTGCAAAGCAATGACTGAACAATGAAGGTAAAATCATGAGTTACGGTTTTACTTTAATGCTGACGTATTACCCCCGTGGGAAAAGAAGAAGAATAAAATCATGAATTGACGGGACATACATGTACATTTTTTGGTCTGACCCGAGGATCCTTGCTAGCATTTTCGGTGACTGTTACGTTTGGGTCTCAAAAAACGTAAAAAAACTATAGCAATGCACGAAGTAAGAATCCATTCGGGAGTTTTTGAGGGTGTAAAGGGGGAGGGGGTAAAAATTTACGAACACAAATTACAAAAAAAAGTCAGCGTGCATGATAATTTTTTTCAGTCTTAAAAATCTTTTATACATTTGCACAAAATGCACGCGTNTTGAATGGGTCGGTTCCAAAAACAGCTTTTTTTTGAGTTTGAGAGGTCATTTCAAGGTTTTTTAGTAGCGCCATCGTTCTTTTCGTGAAATTTGCCATAAGAATCAGGCATCAATTTGCAAATCCCCGCACCTTGCAACAGGCCCATTAGCAACCGCCGACAATATGCAAACCACTAGTGATAAATAAAAAGGCGAGAGAAAGAGAGAGATAAAAGAACAAGATTAGAGTGCTAATTATTTTTCCATTGATTGGAGCAGACACTTTTTTCCGTAAATGCATAGTATCAGATGGCACACTCATTTGATCGTGTAGTGAATTCTTTGCGCGTTGGGGTCGAATAGGCAACTAAACTAACTTCGCGAAGAAGCGTGATGTATCACGGCACAATTAAGGCGTTCTAATCCGACATCGTGCATTTAAAGGCGATTACCCATTTACGTCAACGTTTTATTGCGATTTACCGAAAAATGCGTGAGCCGCTTAAAAATTGCTGACTATTTGCCAATGCCATGGCGATGGCTGAGCGTCAAAATGACGGAATCCACTTGCGGTGCGTTCCGTAATTTTTGCTCTGATTTTTTCCTTCCGAGGGGAGACGAACCAACTTTATGGCTTGGAATTTTCATAGAGTATTTTTTGAACGTGCAGAGGCAAAAGCAGGGAAATTGAAGAAATAACTCTCAGTTTTTTTTTCAAGAAAAAATACAGTATGACAGAAAGACAGTAGCGTCGGAAACTGACCTACTAAGTTTCCGAATTTAGATATCAATACGTAAAAAATAAAACTAAAAAAATTAAGAAAAGCGTTATAATGTATGAAAATTACAATATAATGAAAAAACTCGTTGAAATAACTCGAGGTAGCATTTTTAAGTGAAAAAACCTGGAGAGGATTTCTGGGATTATATATTTTAATAATAATTTTCCCTCTTGCTTTTTATGATTTTTTCACGCTATGCTGCTGATAGGGATCCTCCGTTTTTATTCCGTTGGTGAAAGTTTTGCAGTATGAATATACGTGATTAAAAGAATCTCTGAAGCTTTGAAAATTGAGG